TACAGGTGGATACCGAAGCACGGTTGGCTATATTTGCTATTATGGAAAAGAACCATGGGGTAATGTAAATGGAGGCCGAGTGGAGTCTACACGTAGGTTGACTCATGTGATTCCGTCTATGCCGATTAAGGACCGTACCGTTGTTGGCACTTTTGACAAGATTGAACGCATGCCTATTACTTAGCTAGCCGGATAACTTGTTTCGACCGCGAAGCTGAGTAGCTCAACTCAACCTGGGCCCCGCTCTGTCAAAGTGCGCACTCTGGATGGTAGTAAGGATGTGCGGGGAGCCAGGCATGAGCCCAAGGGCAGGGTAGTCCTGATCATCCTGGCAGCTGGTTGTCCCTGATTGTGCGGCGCTGGACGAACCCGCGAAATGTATACTTGAGTTATACCAAAGGTGACCATTGATCTGGTCTGCCTGGGTTTGTATTAGGAATAAATTCCCAGCTGGTTGAAATCGATTCGAATCACCGTCTCTCCCGGATAGTGAGAAACTTGGCTAGCCCCAACATCGTAGTAATTGTATTATGGAATGTGATGGTTCGGATAAAGATGGAATTACTACACTGGCTATGGTTACTAATGTATGCTCTTAAAATGATATACCACATGTTTGGCACATGATAGTCGCTAATCTAGAGATGAATAGCTATAATTAACTTGATGGCCGAAGTATAATTGTATAATTGAGTTAATCGCTTTTTATGCAAAATGTTGTCAGCTACCTCCACTTATAAAGCCTTGCATAATCCTTGGAGTCAATTTATTTCTGGTTTATGATGGGAAAGTCTAGCTGAGTACCTTCTCGTACTCAGGGTTTTATTTTCATTGTTGCAGATGGTACCGTCTATCACGGATATTGCAAGAATTGCTTCTATCCCGCCGTGGATGAGGAGTGAGCCTTGGGCAGGCATCTTTAATAATCCTTCTGTCATGCTTTTGTGGATCGTGGTCATGTGTTGGCACTGTATTTGAACTATGTTGACAAATGCTACTTTTGAACTTTAATTTGCTTCCGCTACTGTCTATCAAACTTGGTTTGTAATAACTTTATTTCATACTCCGATGATAGAACTATATCTGTGAACTTTATGTAATATATGATATGTATGTTGAATCCTGTATGATCTTGGTTGTATGTGGATCGTTTATCGAGACCCGTCGTGGTACTCAACAGACTACCGAGTTTATATGGGCTCAAGTATGACAGTGCGACCGCTTGCGGGCTGCCATTGTACTTGTGCTCTTATAAATTGGTCGGTTCTATGACACTAACCACCATTGCAGAGGATATCCTCCATGTTTACAGTGGCCATGATGGCGGCGGTAGCAGCAGCAAAGCCGCCAACTAGCTCCGTACGCTCCGCCTGGCTGGCATGATCCAGAAACCTAGGCGCCGCCTAACGGAAGTCTCGGCTGGTGCGAAGTTGAAGGGCGGTGAGGGCGACGCCAGCCCCCTGTAGGATTCCGACCACCACCGCACGTTCACGATCATCCATCAGAAGAACCTCCTAGAGGTGGGCCTCCTTCATCTTGTGGTGAGAAGCCACCAGCTGGTCCTCCAACGCTGGCAACAATAAGGCGGGAAGGTCAGGGACGATGAACAAAGAATGGAACAACAAGACGTAGAAGCATCCTTACCCATGATGCAGGCCTAGGCATCGGCAGTCGCCGCCTATGTGGCAGCGGTCTCCCTCTTCGAGGCCTCAAGGGCCACCCGGACGGCCACAAGACAACACTCTAGCCGGCTCACCTCGCGGGTGGCATCAAAGAAGCGCTGGTGAGCCTCGTCTGCCCCACAAACGAGCTCGCAGAATTCGCGCCAATCATTCGAGGAAGACAACGATGAGCTTGACCCCCTAGTGGGCGAGGTCACGGCGCGAGCAGCGTCGATAGCCCCCGCGGGCACAGCACAGGAGGCAGCCCTATAGGCCACACATGATCAACATAGGTCGGACCCTCGAACTCAAGAATCATCCAAATGCACTTACCCTTGATCGCACAGGCAAGGACAGATAGGTGGTGGCGCCCTACCGGCACCAGACGGCTCTCCCAGCGGCCGCTTGCCGTGACTCATCCTCATCGGTAGGGAGGGAACTCCAGATGAGCAAGAGTGGGGATAGGGAAGTGGAGGAGCAGGCTACTCAAGATAAATGCACCCTCACAGTTCTGCTCCAAGTGTATTTGTAAGCACTAAGGGCACTCAAAGCGCACGCGTGCAAGATTACATTTACTAACTGCTTGGAAAACCCTGCAGAGCAGGTGAAGCGATTAGAAGGGAGGCAGAATGACGGTCACCCAAACGACGGTGTGAATCAAGTAAGCTGCGCACACCCCCACTTTCCCTCTATCGTTTCAATTTATGCGTCCGCATTTCATGGCGCACAACCATTTGCGAGCGATCGCCATCATGCCACGATGTGACCGGAGAGGCCAACCGCCCCCTGGGGATCGTGCACCATGACCCCGCATTATACTTAGGAAATTCACTCTTGGGCCGTCCCTTAGAAAGGCTCGAGGCCACAAAAGGGATAGGGGTAGGGAGGAGATTGTGGCAGAACCGCCTAATCTAATGCCTTTCAGGAGTACTTGTCTTCCATTAGACACTAAGTACTCAAAGGAGAACACTAAATTACACAGTTACGTCGGGCACACCCCAAGGGAGAACCCAAAAATCCATATTTTCCCATCAGGATCACAAATGAGAGAATAAAGCTTATAACATTTAACCATTTCTTACATCCCTTTTTATGCAACATCAGAGTATAATATTTACTGTTGATAATAGCATAATATGATCATGTTATCAGAGTTATGAACAATTTAATTTAACAGTGGAATATAAACATGTGATCAGAGTTATAGCAGAAATAAATATCTATTCCTAACATGATGAAGCATTGATATATAAACTATGACAACAGATTATAAAACTTCCATTTATAAAACATTGAGTGAGAGTTATAAATAAAAACTAAGATTGCAGCGTAAAGGAATCCTCGCTGAGCCCACCAGGAGGTATCCACACACAAGAGTCAGCCTAGCATTTGCCTGTCACCTGCAACAGGGGGAAATAAAACCCTGTGTACTCAATTGTACTCAGCAAGACTTACCCGATAGGAGGAAAGGAAAGACTCTAAGGATATGCAAGGCTATCTGGCTTGTGAGTTTATTGCATCTGCAAGAAGCATTACTAAGTGTGCGTCCTTATATTCCATTTTATTAGCAATCAGCCTTAGTTCATTAACCAACCATTCTATGTAAGCACCTATGCTACTTTTAAGCAGGTGGTAAGCAATCAGAATCATTTTACCATCTTTCATCTTCCAGTTCTTACTACGTTGCTAGACTGCAGACAAGTCGTTCTAGATCACCGGCGATTCATGAATCAATGTGCCCAGCTGGGTACCCCGAAACACACGTCCCACTTGTACCCCAAGCACAAGCAGGACCAACCCACTACCCTCCTTTCATGGGGTCCAGGTCCCCGTCCAAACTTGGACTCCAAGCCCTCGCTCCTGAGCCCCGGACTAAGTGCGGTGCTTGGACCTCCACCCAAAAACCACCCTGAAAGTCGGTCTGAAAAGAGCCAGAACCCATGACAAGAGAGTAACAAGTCTTCCCTGCGCCTATACATAAGTATGTGTTCAGGATAATAAGTCTATGACCTGCATAGAACCCAATGCAACGGCCGGTCCTTAACCGACACAGATAGGGAAATAGTGTAACGAAGCTATGCCCTGTTGGCCGCAGGACACAACCTCTTACACCCACGAATACCCAAACCATATCCCTGCCCGGTCTCCATTTATCATTCATATATATATTCCAAGTGATAATAATATAGTAACAACAATAATATATTTTCTATCTCTCGCGAGTGACAGGCAATCATTCGACTTCTATCGGAGTCCTGTAGCATAGCAATCTACACGATCCTGTCATACTAGTAAGACTCATAGGATAAAGATATATATATATATATATGCAAGTGGGTTTCATTCAACTCCTTAAAACTTAATGCACAAATATAATTTAAAGTGCAGAAAAGTAGGAGTTATGCACCGGGGCTTGCCTGGGTAAAATATAACCGAAAGTTAGCATTCCATCTTCGTGACATGATTCCTAGCACCATCTTTTCAGCTACTACAGTTGATACCATCGATCCACCGTCGTTCCTATGATGATATGTATTGATGCAAATGCATAGATGTAAATAATCAACGACAGCCGAAATTCTTAAAAATCCAATCATGCTTCCAAAAGTACCATTTCTCCTACAACTCCCGATGAATCTGTGATCCATCGACGTCCCTCCGTCGGCGTCGAACTCGCGGTACTCGGGAAACAGACACCAATAAATATTCACATAAATTCAAATGTGTTCCAAAAATTATGAAACTTTATGGATAGGTAGGGTTCGATTTTAGATGAATTTAGGAAGAAGAAGTGATGGAATCGGAGTTAGCATAGTGGAGATATTAATTGTGCAAGGTGGCCGCTAATTAATCACAAGGAGAGAAAATGAAACGTGATTAGTGACCACGTGCTGCTGCTGGTTTATTAGAAAGGGAAAAAGAATAAAGAAATGGGTGGAGTGGATTAATGGCTCACAGACTCTTGACTTTACGTGTATAGGAACTGAGTTGGTTCTCGACTTTGCTACTAGCACATGGCATAGGGCAAGCTGCTGTTGTGGACAAAACAAAGAGCAGAGCAGGTATACGGCTAGGACTCTTCGAGAGAGACACAGAGAGCACCGGGCCGTCGTGCTCCTCAGCTCGTCCGCCATGGATAGCTGCTGGACCTTTGCCTAATGGCGATTCCGGCCATGACTTCCAAATCCAAGGGCATGGGGAGGTAGGGGATGTATGGGGACTATCTACCTTGGTCGATTGTAGCTTGAGGAAGGAGATCGATGGGGCACTCTTCTCTCTGTGCATGAACAGAGGAGGAAGGAGAAGAGCGAGGAGTGGGCGGCTGTAGAGCTGAGCGGCTCAGTGTGGTTGGCGTGGTAGCTGTGGCCGTCTTGGCTGCAGGTGCGGGGGGTAGCGGTCCAGGGTGGTGGAGTAGCGCAGGCTAGGGATGAGCACCTGGAGCATCGATGGGTCCACGCCGCTGGAGCCGTACACGATGAGATTGCAGTAGGTGGCATTGCAGACAAATCCACCATGGCCGGGGCATGGCTCGGAGAAGGAGACGAGCGCCGACAAGGTGGAGGCCGCGCTCGTGAACGCCGGCCCCACCGACACGGACGATGAATTCGAAGGTGACGTGGTTCTCGCGCACGCCGTGAAGGTGTGGTTCCCATGCTTGAGCCCTACGTAGCTTGCCACCGCCTTCGTCCCGTTGTTCCCGCTGGATCCATCGCAGGGTGACGCTGGCTCGCCGTCCAACTGGCAGGTGATGAGGCTATCAGCGCAAGGCCCTCTGGTGGCGCGTAGGACCCAGAAGGTGAAGGTGGCAGATGTGGACCTGGAGTCATGGCGTGGGGTGGCTGAGAAGCTGAGGACGACGTCGTCGACGCCGGAGCAGAGCGGCGCCGCAGCTCTTCCACACCATGCCGTCATGGTCCTCTGCCCAGAACAGAAGCAGAGGACGAGTGCTCCACTACTCCTAGAGCAATGGTGCAGCCGGCCTGGCCGGCCGGATAACGTACTGCTGCACGGCGCGGCCGCTTTGTGCTTGCTCTACCTCTGCGACTGGAATCGTATCGTATCATGTGGGTATTCGGTGCGGTAGCTCGCAGCAGCTACTGAACTGAATGCGCTGGCCTGGGAGCTGGGACTGGGAGTGGGAGGGGACAGCAGAGAGAGGTGAGCTAGGGAGGGACTGGAGTGACGATGAATGCACTGTCTATGCTATCTCTCGTCACGAGATTTGTCGCATCACGTGCTCGGCTCTACTCGTATTACGCCCGATCGAACCCAAGGCCAAAGAAGAGGAGGTCGGAGCAGAGATTTTTGGCTGCGTTCATGGTAGGTGAAATGAACGGATGAGAGCGAGCGCTGCAATGACCGAACGTCAACAGACAAGAGCACCTCCCTGCACACGTGTGTGGACGGCATTATGGTCGACAGCAGCTACGCACGAGTTTTAAAGTGAACGAAAAATTGCTAACGACCACGATTGAGGTTCAACCAACAAACATAGCATGACATAGCCCATACTCCATACTAACCCACACGAGCAAAACATTTGAACGTCTCTTAATTATTTTGCTTAATATAAATAGTCAAAAATAGCATCCTAACTATAATTTCAACTTCCTGCCGATTCACGAAAGGTCTAGTTTAAATGTCAGATTCGATTTCTGAACTATCAGATATACTACTAAACAACTTTTATTCACCAAAACAAGAGTCGCATTTTTATCTATTAAACTTGCGCTTCAAATTTTATTTAAGTACTAAATACAAGTTATGTTTTATTCTTGTTTATAAAAATTGTTTTTCATGCTTAATCAAATAAACAAGCCATTCGCTATTTATTTGCTATCAGGCATTTTTAAGCATTGTCTTCATACTTTTTCAAAACAAGCCCTAAACAACTTTTGTCCACAAGATTATTTAAAAGTTATTAAGCACTGAGACAAGTTGACTAGCGACACTTATTTGTTTGTTTTATTCACGAAAGCAAGTCACACAAGATTCGTTTATAATTTCATGTGCGCTTTAAATTTTTAAACCCAAAAATTTGTTTTGCTAATTTCTCTTAGGCATTAACCTAGGTGCTAAGCAAGCTTGTAACACCTGAGGTGTTATAGAGATGGGCCTTGCGGCTCTAATCGATGGTGTAGAGCCACATGACCATCTCTCCCTGTGTTTGAGTCATCCTCTTTGAAGTCTCCTAGGTTGACCCCCTCTGGGGGCATATTATCCTCTAGCCGTTGTAGAGGCGGTTAGGGACCAATGGGATTGATAGCCGATAATTTATTGGACGTCTCACGTGAGGCACAGCCGAACTCCATGTTGATTGGGGAAGATATCGGGCCCCGCTCGGATTACCCATAGACCCCGACAAGGTGCATCGCTCTGGCCACGTGGTTACGGTGGACATGCCTCTCCCCGCGTGGGGCGAAACCAAACCCGCCTGTTACAAGGTAACACGACCTCTCAAGGTCGGCAAGGACGCCAAGGAAAAACAGAGTCGGGTCCCCGTGACCCCAAAAGAGGTCAAGGCCAAGCCCTGACCAGCTCTGCCCTGTGTCCCAGGTCTCATACCTAAGGCCTGCTCTAGAGACTCAAACCATCAGGGGTTCACGACCTCTCTGGGAGAGATCAATGGAGCAAAAGGCCAGGGTGACGCGCAATGCAAAACCCAAAAAGTGATCATGGCTCGGTCATGGAAAAAGCGAAAGGGTCCAAGACCTATGAGCCGATGCACGACCGCAAGAAACCTTGTGACTGTACAGAAAGAAGTCGGCGAACAATCCCCTAAAACACCAAAAAATAGCCTCTCCAAACGAGCCAGGGTCAAAGGGACGACCCTGAACCCACGACTCGGGGGCTCATGGCATAGGCTGCGAGAGGCGTTAGAGGGAAGTTCCTCCAGCAGGAACAAAAGTAGTCGCGCTGCTAAAACGTCAATGAAAGGTGTCACCACGATGGTGATGCCAATTGACAAGCCAGGGCCAAGCGCCACCAGGGACGGTGTCGTGCCTCTGAGGAGCAACGCGTAGGAGTGCCACCGCAACTCCTCTGGCTTCAGAGGAAGGGGCAGCCGGCAACAGCAGTATGGTCATGTCGCCATCCAACCCTATCTAACGGGGGTGGAGTGATGGGGAAGCACTGCTTCATCCTCCTTCCATCCCACTAATAGTCTAGGCAGGTCGATGACCAGTGCGTAGGCCTCCAAGGGGAACCAGGAGCGACACCAGTCGTTGCCCATTTTGATCACACAAGCCACCTAGGCTCGAAGCGAGAAATGGCAATGAGATGGCACACCGATGTCACGTATAACCCAACACGGTGGCCATACTGCCCCTCGCCCTCCGACTTGCAAAATCCCCTCTAGCATCGACTGTTGGAACTGGCAACGATAGCATCTAGTCGCCACGAATGGTCTCCAGCAGGACACATGCCTAAAAACCACGTGGTTTCCTTCAAAGACCTTTCTCGCTCCCAGTCAAAGCTCAGCAAATCAAAGGGGACAAAGGAATCTCGGTGCCAGAGGTAGCCCGGATGGAGGAAGGCCCTCACTTATAAGCCCAAGGGCGGATTAAATAGCCTGGGACTCCCTCGCCATGTGGCGAGCAATAGGAGCCATGAAAGATCGGGAAAAATCGAGATCTTCCTAAAGGCAGGGCCGGTACATCATCGACGAGACCACTCGGTCCCCCCTGGAACGCAAGCCCCGATGCACAGCCCACAGACATGATAGTCGAGTATCGCATCATCAGGACACCTTGACAAAGTGAAACGTGATGGACGCTTGCCGCATTGAATACACCAACCAGCAAGGAGCCGAGCAATGGAGCCTGAATAAGCTACGACCGTGAGTCCACGCCATGATGTACGCGCATACTAGCACTTTCACGATCATTTCATGATCGTAAAAATGCTCTAGGGCTACTGTCAAGGTTATAATCCCAGGGTATCTAAAGGCATCGATTAGATGGCGGGGCGCACAGCTCACAAATGCAACAACAGACAAAGGCCCAAACGACCAAGGCCCAGCAAAAGCCAAACTGGTCAGGCCAAGCACTGAGATCAGTGTTATCCACGACCCCTTCCACTTGCCTTCGTCTCACCATGCTCGCAAGGCGTACGATCTCTCTCTATCACGACCTCCGAAAGAGATAGAAAGAGGTCGCGCCTTGCCAAGCGAGCCTACCCTGATAGGGGCAAGTACGCCACACTGACCCCATAAGGACCAAGGTGACAGTAGTCACCTCAGTCCGGTTAGAGGCCAACCCTGCGCCACGCTACATGGATAAGACAACACCGCCTCGAGGCTCATAAGATGGCATAGCTTGCAAGCCAATTTAGCTAGGACCTCCCTCAAGCTCTCGACCCTTTGGTCATGGAAACCTCCTCTTTGTAACAAGCCCTGGCCCCGAACTCTATATAAGGGTAGCCAGGGCTCCCATCTCGGGGATATTCACATTCTTCATCCTCTACCATTCCATCCATAGTAGCAGGGCTCCTAGAGCTTCTCTTCGGGCTGCCCCTCGTCTAGCATAGGTTCTACCACCTCTTTCACCATTCTTGCACCCCCATTATAAGAACTTCAGAGCAATCAAGCAAGAAACATGCACTCGATCTTCTCTAAGACTGGACGTAGGGCTCCGACCTAAACCAGTATAAATCCTCGTGTATATTGGATTCTACCATCGTCTTCCTAGAGTAGAGTGGTAATCGCATAAATTTACTAGTTCGGTTTATGAAACACCGACACTACTGTATATTGTTTCCAACACAAAAAGTCTTGAAACCAGGACATGACCGTCATTAAGATTGCCTAAGGGCAATTGAAGTGCAAGAAAAGGTTACTAATTTGGCAATTTTGACCTACTATGACTCCTTGATGAAAAAAAAGACTTTGTATAATTCATGAGTTGCTAGAAATATATAATAATGGTATATTGATATTATTAGAGGTTTCACCTAATCCCTCTCACAAAGTGGAAAATCATATGTCACTCACTATTTTTTAAACCACACAATACAAATGTGAAACTCATATACATGCGCACGTACTTACCATGTGAATGCACACGTCCTCCCCTTATGAGCATATCCGAAAGACTGAGTTGGCAGATCTCAAGATTGATGAAGCCACCACAAACGCCTCATGTGGACGTGCATGTAACCCATCATTATGGTGGCGCATTAAATATTCAACAATAAGGCCATAATAGGTTAGCTATGTGATGCCGAAGGGGGAATTATTGAGTTGTTTCAATGAAAAGACCATATCGGGAGGAAATTTACATGAACACTACTAGAGAGATGCATCTTTATTTACCTTATAAACAAAGACGTTGGCCACATCAATGTACATGTCTAAGCCCACTCCACACAAAATCACAAATGGTTCCTTGATGACCATCCATACACCTCGGCTTGCTTTCTAGTGGTCCCTGGCACCATCACTGATCGTCCCATTACCTTTGTTATGTAGCTACCCATAACTGGCAATGAGGACACCTCACTGTCATCCCTCGACCCCATCCTCTCAATTAAGCACTAAGATTGCCCCCTTCCCCTCGCACCGACCCCACCTAACTACCCATCTTTGCTACCTCGGTTGGCGGCACAATACTGCCAACCACCGAGCTAATATGGGACTATCTACTATTGACCGAGCCACTGAGGTTGAGAGATCTTCCAGAACCACCCTCATCTCCTGCCCCTCACTGCCTCAACAATAGTGGTTTGGCCATTGAGGAAGCTCACAAACTCAGAGTGTACATTAAACTCTAGAAGTAGCATGAGCCTCCTTTGCTCCCTATCAACCACAACCCACCGACCCTACCTCCCTCGTGACTTCTAGCTCTCCCACCACAATGCCCCAACCACTTTCTACTACCACCTCTCATAGGTGGTGGCACCTTGGCTCACTACCC